CCCCAAAACCCCAAAACCCCAAAACCCCAAAACCCCTGACTTCATGATTTCATAATGTAAGATGAAATAATTATACATATTTAATAAGCTTCTAGAAGATATTATAGGGGCTTGATTAGTGATGAGTTAAACTGTTTATAATTGAAATATAAAATGATAATCATTTTAAGATCATTGAAATGTCTCATGTGATCATCATCCTAAAGAAGCTTCATTCAGAAAAGAGGAATTCTGAAAGAGTCTAGTTGTGAAATCTTTTCTTCATATCCTCAAATGAGAAGGGAGGGTTAGACTACTTAGCAATTTCTTCTAGGTCATTTCTAAATTGAGGAATTCTTTCCTTTAAAACAGTATTTTTAAGGTAAGTCTTGATATCTTGAGATACTTTTGTCTCAGGATGAACATACTTCAAAAACTCCCATTGCTTTGCAAAATGAGGTCTGGGATAAATAATATTTCCATTGTAATCTCTGTATTTGCACCATCTTTCAAAGATATCTTGGCAGAAGGTTTCCCATTCCTTTAAGTATTCATCTTTGCTTTCATATGTACAGTGATTTGCTCCAATAGTAAGTACTTCAATAGAGCAAAATGCTCCAATATCACTTTATGAATCACACTGATTAACTCTGAAAGGAGACAGAGTAACTTCAGATAAGCCAACAACTCTCATTTCCAAAGCAACTTTCATAGGGGCTCTATTATCCTTCTTTTTAATCTCATAAACCCTCATTATGACATCCCACCAAGCTTTGTGAGCAATACTCCAATCAATAGACCCATTAGCTAATTTTGGCAATGGAATTTCAACTTCCATGTCCAAGACTTCAAAATTTTGAATTCCTCTTCTAAAATGAAGGGCTTCCATCAATTGTACCGATGTGTCATAGGTTTTAAGTTGCGCCATTGCTAAGGTTCCAAAAACTTTTGCAGTTAAGACCTCTAGCTTTTGTCTTTTATCCTTAGGAATGAGATTCTAAGCTGTTGTCATTATTGCTTAAATAGCAGCTGAGCCGATCTCACTCAATTTAGAGGACAAATGGTTTCCCACTGCATCACTCTTATTTGCATCATTTTTCCAGGCTAATACATAGCTTTTAGATTGGAATGGGAACCAAAAGAACTCAGAATAATAGCTTTCTTCGCATCTTTAAGCAAACTTAGCAAAAGCTTGTTACTTATCCTAAAGACTCATTTTTGAATATGCCTTTTTGACTTCTCTTGGGAGTTAGGAACCATTTATCTATGAGTCGTAATCTGAAGGATATGGCACAGCTTCTAATATATCTTCTTTGAATGTAGTAAAATGTGCATAAGTCATTGGGTCAGCCTTGAGTGTTAGATGAGTTACAACTCCTAATAAACCAAAGCAGCCACTAGCAGACTACATTAAAAGCTTTGAAGAATCTGAGTCAGCTTTAAATTTTTAGAGTTTTCCATTGCAATCAATATATTCCAATTCATATACTAGATCACTGAGAGTCTGAGTATTTATTCCAGCTCCATGACAGATTGGAGCATTACTACCAGCAAAAGTGATTTCAATCATTATAACATTCAGTGGTAGTGCCCACAATTCTTCAACTCCACTTGAAAGTTGTTGATTAGTCCAGTTTAAAAACTGAGCGTTTAATGTAGCAGCACCTAATCTGATCAGACCCTTTCCAGTTGCCTCATCTTTTCCGACAACCTCTATTTAGTTGAGTTCAGTTTTCTTTAATTTTGCTGCTTTATCCAAGCAATCTTAGAAAGTTAATCTTGACTTTATTAATTTCTTAGTTAGAAGAGAGATCTAATATTGTTGGTTGTCTCCGAAAATGCTAGACCAACTATGGCAGAAGCCATTACATCTTACAGACTTGTCTGCTGCCTTTGCACTCTCAACAAATTTCTGGACTTCTTCAACAGTCTTTGGTGCATAAAGAAGGTGATCAAGGGTTGTCTATACAGTTCCACCCCAGTTTTCGAAGGCCTCATTTTCCCGAATATCTGGTTCCTTGTTAAGTCTTTCAACCATCTCAATAAAAGATATTTTTTTGTTTATATTTTAGGAGATAACAAAAATTTAAATAACAAAGTAATAAAGATATGACGAATAGTCAAGGGATCAATCGGTAATAAGGAATAAATTGAGGTTAAAAAATAGCAACGCTGCAAACTAAGAAGCTAGCGTAGTAACTATGAATTTTCAAGACTCGCGGGATACAGGAGCAAAAAGATGATTCAAGCAGTCGGATAAGTGATATAGTAGTAGAGTCAAAGACAGATATAAAAATAAATTAGGATTTCCTGTTTTGAGTTAGTAATATTTTAGTATTTAGTAATAATTTATGAAGATGTTTTACTTTTATTTTCACTCGTATTCAGGTTTATTTCTTTTCAGATAGAGTAACCTTACTACTAATATAAGAAGTAGTATCTCTCCTCATTACAATTGATGCAAAGGGAATTTAGAACTATCTCATTACAGCTATGAAGTCAGAATGCTCCTTGGAATGAACTTAATCTTTTTTCTTGGCTATGATTTCTATGTCAATATCTTTCATTCTACGGAATTTGCCATCAATTATTCTACTTTGTTGAAATTTTTTTTTCTATCTATCTTTCTTTTTATTGAAACCCTTAGCAATAACGAGATTCACATAGGATTTATATGTGATTTGTAGTCAAATCCACGCATGCCGATAGCATCCTAGAGAAAAACCACAATTGAAGAATACTGGTTTACCATTAAATTAATATAATTTCAGAAACATTGTATAATCTACATTTGTATCGATTAGCACAAAAACTATTCTGGTAACTAATTTTTCTTGAGCGAGTACCTATTTTATTTTTATAGTGCTTGCAATCAAGCAGGGAATTGTTTGATATATGTATTTTTTCCTCATTGTAATTTCCCTGTAGTTTTTATCAAACATCAATGATTCAATCTCTTTTTTATTACTCATTCGCCATTAATGAATGGGAATGTAGCTTAAATAGTTATTATTCAATAACTTTAATTTTCATTACAATTATTGCAAGTTTTAGTAATTGAGCCAATATTTGCATTTTTCTGAACAAATCTTTCAATTTCTGGCTCAATAAGCATGTTAAGATCAACTTCCTATAAAATGATTAGCGTTTGTTGCTTTTTGAGTTAGATGTCAATTTCAACGTATGTCATATTCATATCATCATTTAGTGAATATCTATAGGAAGCTCGTGAGTTCCCTTCTTTTATTTTAAATATATGCTTGTAATGGAATACTACGCGTTCTATGGTGTGAATATGTGCGTGTGTGTGCGTGCATAGCACAAAAGAGATCAATCAAGGTGATATCAGCAGCCAGTGATTGAAAATTTAGCTAATCCTGAGCCAACAATATATAATTATCTTGTCTATTTATTGAGGTTAGTTACAATATGTAAGAAAAATTGAATTACATATTTTATGGCTTGAATTCTATTATTTATGATTTAAAGAAACCTTTAAGCTCCATTCTTTATGTTATCTTGTTTACTTTACTGAGTTATTCATACTTGCCTATGATTGAAATATCATAAGCAATTTTAATAATAGTCTTTCTGATTCTAATATATCGAGATATTGAGCATTGTAAGACTTATTCAACTGTGTCTGAGATTTAAAAAATTTTTCTTACTATAGTTATTAGACAACGAAGTCATTAACTCACTCATAAACTCTAATGATAAGCAGTATGTCCTAGTATTATTATGATCTAATTTAGTTATGTGACTCGTTTTTCGGGTAGAAAGGTTTGGGTTAGACAGGGTAAAAAAGGTTTTTAATTATAGGCTGTTAAACTATGAGAGACACTGCAAGTACATAAACAAATATTTCCTATCAAAGTGATTCAAGTACCCGAAGATTTAAATTTGTTGATATTTAATATAATTCTAAGTGATGTTCAAACATTAAGTTATATAACTATAATTCTCAACACTTATTTATTGACAGAAATTGATAGAGAAGAGTATGTATATTATATTTGTATTAATTTTACTTCTTTCAAAATATAACTATCAATGATATCTACATTATTACTCACACATGGGGTTTTGGGGTTTTGGGGTTTTGGGGTTTTGGGG